GAGGCAGTTAATGGATGCAAAGAAGCCAAATGTGGACAAACTCAGACCTGACATGAGCGTCTCGTTCTCATAGGTCCCGCTAGGCTTCCTTGGATGGGAACTCCGAGATAATGGTAACTCGTGGTTGGAGACAATGAGTGTCGTAAACAATGGCGCTCGTGCATCCACTCATTATCATCGCATCTCTAGTCCGTGTGACTTCTCTCTCTTCTCCTTGATTCTGCTCGCAATATTCCATTCTCCCTTGTGCTCTTTTATCCAAATGGGCGGTCATGAGAGAGAGGGCAACCAAAACCGGCGCACGATAGTCCATGGTTAATGGTTGTAAAAACTGAAACTGGTGATAAGCGTTAACGTGAGCTTCGTCGATGTCGAATAACCGCCGGATGTGCTCGTTTCATTTATTGATTTATTTTGTTCATTTTTGCGTGTCTGCTCCGATCACTTTGCCCTAACTCAAGCTTTATTTCTCTAGTTGGCACAAGAAATTGATAAATTTCACAATTCAATACTTCCACATTCCGAACTGCCTCGTACCATATTCTGGTTCGCAATAAACACATTTGTGCATCACATGACATACTATTGTCGAGACTGTACCAAGACTGTCCCGGTGCATCGCTCTATCTGTTCGCTGACTAGCTGTCCGGAACGTGCGTTTCGCCGCAATGCCCTTCACTGGAGTCACCAGTACGCTTGTATCTGTGCCTGGTCTGTTTTTATTTGTCTCATTGATATCCGGCTGATTAAGTGGTGCATGATGCATCAGTACAGTACACCTGTCGCGCCAGGTGGCGGCGCGTCATCGGTGCCAAATCACACACACAGCACAGCACATGCTCAGCTTCATCCACAGGAGGGGGACGGGGTTATTGATGCAGTTGTTTAGATCGACTCATGTTTCCTCTACAATATTGGTTGTTGGAATGAAGCTGTTGCTATTTTCATCGTGTGAAGCTGAATTATCTATGGACTACTGTCAGATATCGAAATCAAGAGGTATACGTACCAAATGGATTGTGAACTTTTTATCCACGTTCGCGTTTGCAATTTACCTGGAATAACAACAGCGATGTTATGGATAAGTCGACTGACTGATCGATATTGTTCAGCTAACTGGCCTTCCCTGCATGCGCATGCAAATACATTATGATCTTCCCTCGTCGTGTAACATCGGTCGGTCGAGTGATTTTGACTCCCCGATAAATGACAAGTCGAACCTCCATCGACGCTTAGTGTGTGTACCAATACGAACGCTATTTTCTCAGTCGTTAGGTGGTCAAGCCGTGCAAGTTGCTATCCTTGGTCAGCTTCGTGCCCTCAGGTTCGAGATTCCAATCCTGCCACAGGCACCCAAATTTGGTGGTGGTCGTGGTGGTAGACAACCTCGCTGTTCTCCGGTTCACCATTGTGATTTGTCAGTTGATACCCGAAAACTTGGATTACCGGTTTTCTAATTGAATAAATGATCCTCATATCTGTGGTTAGAGGCGGTATTGCCCCGTCCACTGTTCGTCACACAGTGCTGTGTGCTAAAAAAAACCAATCTACAAGTTAAGTGACCTATTCTGTCCAGTTTCGAAAAATTACTGCCCGTCTGTCTGCTGTTCCTCCCAATGTACTGTCATAACTCGATCAGGTTTGTGGTCACACACGTACAGCATCACAAATCTTTCCTTCAAATGTACTCAATTTTTTCCCCTAGAGAAAATTATTATCGTTGCTTCGAGCTCACATCTGTCTGTGACGAGGAAAAGCACATTATACATTACATTCGGCGAATCGGCATTGCAACTCAATTCATCTGAGTTGTGCGATGTCTGTGAAAAATACTTTTCNGGGGGGGGGGGGGAGGCAGTACGTGGCAGATAGCTTGGGTTTTGACAATCTCTTGATAGTGAGGCAGATTATATTGTGTTCGTTCAAACCATATCCCGGTGAGTTGCGAGGGTTTCGGTTTGGTTTGTGCGTTACTGAGGCTATGCGCGACTCTCAAATTGTCCACTGTTGCTCGACTCGGTCAGATTCACTGAACCAGCTATTGCACTTCGACAACGTCCGGTCCTGCGCGAAATGTGTGCTGATCTTGCGTGATCTGTAAGAGATGAAGAAGTATTATTGTTGTTCAAAATTGTACTCACCGTCACCCGAGTCTGTTGGAACAGTCATACCAGCAAGCACTCACGAAGCTGAACCAAGGGAACGTTTTCGCGGTCACTCACCAACGTAATACTTGAACTCCATAAACTGACCGTGGGGGGGAGGGCTGTATTGCTCATCTCACCGCGTAAGCTTTCTAGCTGTAGAATTTCCCCCCAGGGGAACAATTGTTGATTGTAAGCCACAGGCATTTAGACTATACCTCAACGATTGAAGCATCCAAATCGCAGCTAGCAGTAGGCTTTGTGATGTGATTCTCATTAGGTTCCGCGGATTGCAATACTCGGGTTCAGTCTTTCACCCACTCATTCTTTTCTTTGTTGATCAACTGTGTGTTTCCCCCCGAACCAGGAATCAATACCCCGATGGGTTTAAGCGAAATAGTTTCTCACAGTTTGTTTTCATGTCTTCAACACCCAGTCATCTGAGAATATTCAAGTCCCGTGTGAGGAATACCACAGAAGATTTTGTACGTTCGCTCTCTAGAAGATTGATTGATTAAAAATAGGTGCGAAAATTTGATCTCGGGGATAGGTTTCCGACATATAGTATTTTTCAAATGTGAATTCGTCGTGTATATAGCAAATGAAGCGAAACAGCTGTCCAGTGCTTCCGAGCTTTTCAGTTCCCGCTTCGTTTGCTATATACACGACGAATTCACATTTGAAATTTAACCAAATCCTCCATTACGCACATGATATAGTATTTTGTTTGGCAAATGAGAAGACACATGTGTGTAGTATCTCGTGTAGAATCCGTTTAATGGATTTAGTTCCACTCCTACACGTGCCGTTGTTCCCGTCTGGTCTCCTCCTCTGCATCTAGTCGAATAAGACTTTGGTGTTGTTGGTCGCGGTTGTGGTACGTTGCAACGGTATCTTCGTCCAATTTTTCGTCTTTGTTCCTTATCCGCTCTGTGTCGTGCTCCTCCGTCGTGTACTAGGCACGAATTCATACGCGCGTGCATTTCCAGCCAACTGGGTTTCGGACAGGAATGCCAAAGTAATTGTCAGTTTTCCACAATAGATAGTTTGATGGACTATCATTCCAACACGAGCGCACACATACACAAATACGCTTTGGGCGTGCATACATTCCCGTTCTGTTTCCCTTGAACTCGTGGACTGGGCTGGGCTGGGGTGTAACTATCTCTCTCGCTCCACAGACCAATGACTCAGAGCTGGATGTTAATGGGCGGATCCATCATAATGCGCGTGTTACTGTGTTTATCCTGTTGAACGATTTGCGAATATGTGATGGCCAAGTGGTTCAGCTCACTTATCGCCCCGGGAAGTAGTGTTCGGACCCCACTTCTAACGCCCAAATTTACTCATTTTCTCTGTGTGTCGTATAGCAGCCGTTTGATTGGCCGCTTTTCCCTTCCTAAAGATTGCATGTATCATTTTGTAGTTCTTCAATTAAAGTTCCTAAAAGGCTCAATAAAAATAGAGAATCTGTACTTTGTTCCAGCTCACATTGGTTCGCATAGCTTCCCTGTACTATTTTTATAGTTCTGCGGTATCTGTCTGTCTGTCTGTCTCTCTCTCTCCCCGGCCCATCGAAATGCCATACGTAATGTTCTTTACGAATTTGCTTATACCAGTCTGTGTCTTTGTGGTCGTTCCAATACAAACGCAATTCACGGAAGATTCCCATATGAATATCAAAAGCAAAACAGTATGGCGAACAAGCTTGTTTTCGTAACTTCGTCTTCAGGCCTTTACAGTTATGTGTGCGTATTTATATCTCATGTAGAAATAAATGTGGTTGGACCGTAGAGGTTATGTGTGAAAATGCAACAATCTCTGTCAAGTTTAATCGGGACCAGTGGGTGAAGAAGAGTGGGGGGGGGAAAGTCAATTCTGGATTTTTCGGTGACCTTTCTTTTCATGTGCCATTTGTCACGCCGTGTTGCGTCATCATGATACGATTGAGGTCATGGTTCGAGTCATCACGTAGGTTTGATTGAGGCCAAGGTAGCTGAAGTGCGGCAACCATCTTCTTCTGTTTGCACAGTGGTGGGTTCATGATTTTGATTGCTACAGCTTCCGCTGTTGACAAGTGACGTATCCGAACTCGCTTTGATATGTTTTGGGGTACTTTGTAGATGACTTTGAAAGCATCGTTGTTTGGCTGATGTCCGGTATCAGCGAGGTGGCCCATAATCACTTCGGGCTTTCCACAATCCACCAGCATTTAATCAACCAACACAAAAATATTTTTCCTGTTCCTGTGATGAATTATCAGCACACACTCGAACCTCAGTCTGTTTCACTTTTACATTCGTTTAAAAATTATAAATATTGATCTAATCTACGGTGAAACTTTGCTTCACGAAATTGCGACCTGTATATTGACTGTTAATCATCAGGTATCGTGCACTAGTATGACTAGTTCAGTAGAACGTATTCCCATCACTTCTGACAGTATGGAACTAGGAACTGACTGCCATTGTTCCTCCTATCGCCATTTGCCTATTCATTCCCATTATAGAGATCACTACGAAGGAGTTAACCCCGAAGGCGGACGCTGTCTATGATAATCTGGCTGTCTATTTGGTTTGGCAACCACTTCGTCCGGAACTGTCTGGAATTGAGCAAACTGCAAAGGAGATCGAATATCGGCTGGAATATTCCGTTCAGACGAGTCCGGTGGAAGATCAACGTGATAGTCCAAATACGACTCGTCCGTTGGCCGCCTTGGTTGGCCTCGTCGGTCACGAGGCGGTACGTTGGAGCGATCCGAGCTCTTTGAAACAACAGGTTAGTTCGAGTTATTCCCTGTATGCTTTTGTTCAATCAACCTGTTAGAATTCTCATGTCCCGTTCATGATGTTTGCATTGCCTCATCCAACTCGGAACACAATTTTTATGTCTAGTGGTCACTTTATTTGCAGTGGAGACAAGGCATGAAGAAATGTATAGAACGATTAAGTAGAGTAGGTGTTTCACGTCTTCGGAGTTTGGGTTCGAAAGACTCCGTAACCGCATGGTTGGAGACACTGAAGGGTGTTGCAGCAAATCGACGACAGTGGCGATGTTCCTGTCACTTCTTATCAGACCAGAATACTCCAAATAGTGTGTATGTGTATAGTTAGATTGTGTACTCTTTGTTTTGACCCTAGAGGTTCACTTTCTTTTCGCCGTCGCTCAAAATAGGCCCAATCCCTATCCCCCGTACAGATTCTCACCTACCTTATGTATTATGAGGTTAAGAGCGATCAGTGAAGTTCGCCTCACTGTATTACGCTGTACGATGATGACGATGATGATGATGTATAATTCGTATTTACCTTATGTTGGTGGTGCAGTGGTTTAATCGCTGTCCCCTGCCTGCTTTCAACTCTGTGGTCCGAGGTTCGGACACTGCTACCACCGCCCAACTTTGGTGGTAGACAGCTTTGCTGTCGTCCGGTTCAATACCACGCTTAACCTAGCGGAGCCTTAGGTGGTTCGCCACTCCACGTCCGGCGGGGCTTAGGTTACCGGTTTCTATCAATGAACAGCAGGTCCTCGTGACTCTG